CAATGCATAAATGCTTCCCAGGGGCCAGACTTGGGCCATGGAGGGAAAATCCCAGGCACAGATGAGGGAAGAGAGACGGCAGCTACAGAACCTCCATAGGCAACCGAACCAGCTGCCATCTGATCACCTTCAATCCACTCATGAGTGCCAGGGTAGAACAGCACTCCCTAGGGCTTTTAACGCTTGTCACAATTCCTGGTCACTATGAGCTGGCACAGACTCAAGGACACCTAACAATATTATTGGCTGTAGTTTTGGTATGGATTACAGCTCAATGGAAAGAAACCAGTTCTCAGAACTAAAATACTAGACAGCACAGTGGGAGAGATAATCTATGTTATGGAACATTTCATGCTGTTTGGATTCACGATCTATGCTCATGAAATCAAGTCACGATCCATGCCACAGTCATGAAATCAAAGGATGCACTACTGCCGTGGGCACATCTGCCGCACAGGGCCTCTTCACAGTCTCAGAGAGAAAAGAGGTGCCCGACCCAAGCCTCGCTATTCTCAGTGACGTCATCTGCCTGTGCCAGCTGGGCAAGAATCAGGAACCCTGGGGGATAATGGATGCCTTAAAATCATGGTGAAGACTGTTGCAAGTAACTTGGACTGCCTGAAGAACAAACAAATCTGTCTTGCACAGCCAGAATAGTCCATGGAAGCCAGGGTGCCGAGACTCTGTCTCGCATATTTTAAATGTCTTAGCAGGAGAGACCAATCCCTGGAAAAGACTTCATTCACGAGGAAGACCCTTGATGAGATGGATGGGCACAGCGGCTGCAACAACAGGCTCAAACCTAACACAACTGTGGGCAGGGGCAGGATTGAGAGGCATTTGTACGTAGGGTAGCCATGAATCGCAGCCTACTTGAAGGCACTAATGACAACATTGTTTGACTGAAAATTGAGCCATGGGGAGGAGATCAGTTCTAGGCCTCAAGGGTGTGTGTGGGTCATCATTTTGAGTGTTCCATTAGACTCTCTAGGGTCCATAAGCCCTTTCTCATTTGAGCTTGTTCCACATCTTCTCCCACTCTGGTCCAGACACCCTGCCACGATCCCTTTCAGAGTGGATAGCAGTGGTAATTGGGCATTATCTGGTTCTGCTGGTCTCAGGGTGGCAGAGGCTAAGGTTCATGTGGTCCATTAGTTCCATTAGGTATTGTGGCAGTTACATTATCTTCTGTCAACTTGCAAAGGGGTGGAGTCTAGCCTGTCAATCAAGTTGCAACTTGATGACCTCATTTGGAGGCATGAAGGAGATAAATGGCTCACTGGAGTCCAGATACACTCTTTCTGCTTTGACTCCCTCCGAGATATTCCTGTTGACAAGCCACATGGAGCTATGATGATGGCAGCCAGAGTTCTAGAGCTGGAGGAGCCACAGGGAGAGCCACGACAGTGCTGAGATGCTTCCACCACCACTGGATCCACAAGACTTTCCACCCACTGGCCTGTGATCTGCCTGCCTTTGGCGTCATTGCACGTGTTGCGCGAGTCTGTAGAGGAAATTACAGACTGGTATCAGACATGTGGGCTAATATCGGACTTATGGATTTGATCTGGACTGGACTGGGATGTTTTCTTAATGTACAATTATTCTTTGATATAGAGTTCTCTATTGCACACATAAGAGTGTCTCTGGATTTGTTTCTCTAGTCCACCCGGGCTAACACAGCTATGTTGCTCTTTCTTTCTCTCTTTGCTCTGGGTCAGGGGAGACCGATAGTTACACCTCAAATGGCTGCTCCAAAGGTTTTTTTGTTTTAACATCTTCCAATCCACTTCTATTTTCCCTTTCTCTCCTCACACACACAATTTGTTGGTTTCCACCTTTATCCATATGTAAAGTCACTTGATGTTGGCCAGGTGCCATTTAGTTTTCCACCATTTTGTCCCTAAAATTGTGTAGGCATCCAAATGACAGCGAGCCAGCGTTCAATCCATAGCCGTTTACACAGCACAGCTCACGAAGCTTTAGACGCTGGGCAATTGAACCACCTAAAAACAGGAGAGGGTCAGACAGGCTGTCAAGCGGTATTAACCAACCCCTAATCAGGAGCCCTGGAGGCACAGAGCATAGCTGCTAGCCACAAGATCAAGGAGTCCCAAACCACCAGCCCTTTGCGGGAGAAACTCGGAGATGGCCGCTCTCGTTGTGGTGCCGGATGGTGTCCATTGATCGTCGTTCTTTCATGTTAACACTCCTGTCTTTATTTGCACGCCCCCCCCCCAAAAAAAAAAAACCCTCACTGCCGTTGAGTCAGTCTGACTCAGCGAAGGGTAGAATTGCCCCGTGTGTTTCGGAGGCTGAACCCCTTAAGGGAAGTAGAAAGCCTGGTCTGGCTCCCGCGAAGCAGCTGGTGACTTCGAACAGCTGATCTTGCGGTTGGTAGCCCAGCACATACCCACTAAGTGCCGAATGCTTCCGCTCTAACTTCCCTACAGATTCTTCAAGATAGAAGGGGGCCTTACATGGGGGCTGGCTGCCTTTTATAGTTGCTCTTTTCAAAGCACTATCTGCGCATAAACTTCATGAAGTTCAACGTTCACAACTGCGTGGAGCGCTTTTGGAGGAAGGAGCCTTGGAAACCAGCTTCCAGGTGGGCGCTCAGCGGGTGGCAGGCGCCGCCCGGGCGGGGGCGGGGGCGGGGGCGGGGGGGGGGGCGGCCGCAGGTGGCGAGCGAGGGTGCCTGCCGCCCGGCGCAGTGTTGGTGCACAGCCTAGCAACGGCTCTCTGGGCCCGGAGAGGTGGCGGGCGAGCGCAGGATCCAGGGGTCAGTGGAGAGGGGCTGCTACCGGGGTCCGCAAGGCCCCTGGCAGGTGGCGAGCCTCCTGTGAGTGCGCGATACCCTGGGGGGTAGGGTGGGAGCTGAGGGAGGGGTGGGGGGGCTTTCTGGCAGCCTTAGTTGTTCTAAAAAGAGACCCAGCTTCTTTCCTCCCCAGCCTTCCCTGGCTAGCCCGAAATTCGACCCTCCTCCCCTTCCTCCCCAGGAGTCCTGGTGGCGCAGCGGGTTAGGCGCCCGGGCTGCGGCATCGCAGGCTCAGCGGTGTGAAACCACGGGGCAGTTCTACCCCGTCCTCCTGGGCCTCCGTGAGCCGGAATGCCGCCTCTGCCCTCTCCCTCCATGCGGGCACCGGGACTCCGCCAGGCCTCGGACTTAGCTCCTGCGACCCCCCCAGCCTCCTCTCCAACCACTTTTCTGCCCGGCTCCCTCTTTGCCTGTCTCCTCTGCTTGCAACTTTGCCTAGGGAGAGGGGAGTCTTGCCCACCCTATAGGGCGCTGAACCCGC